GTTTCCTGGCTTGGGTTCGCAGACGTTATTTTCGGCGGAGACAAGCGACAGCCGGAAATACGTCTGCGTTTGCAGGCTATGATGCCCCAAGCCCTCATATTTCGGCGAGGGAAACCTGGAGGTCTGCGCGCACTAGACACAAACAATGGCAGGTTTTGAAGAGCTATCCTCTTGAGTGTGTACGAAAACAATAGACTATATTCGTATTTTCGTTATTGGACTGGAACTACCTTGCAACCGAGGCTAATGCAGGGAGTCTTTTCAAATGCAAATCACATTAATCTCTTTTTAATGATATTCCTCCGTATGAGCCTCCATCCCAAGCTAGTTCCAGTCCAATACCGAGAATACGAATATGGCCTGTTGCGCTGCTCTTTTTCAGTGAGCGATAGTCAACTACGTTGCGCCTCGTTGCTTATTTAAACATTCGAGTATTTCTGTCGAGGAACTATCGGTTGATAGTTGCCCCGCGGAAATTTGATGTTCTTAAAACAAATATGCTGGTTTCAAGAACATCAAATTTCCAAGGGGCAACTATCAGACCGATAGTTCCGAAACAAACACCCTGTTGTATTTATTTGTCACGGCTACATTTTTTTCTGCGCGCCAGTAAAAAAATCATATTGAATTATTTTTAACTTTTTTTTACGATGACATCGAGGAATCGAGTAGCCATACTTGTTACAACAAATTGCTACTTTCAATTTTTTTTCTCATAAGCCCGCTTGTTTACAGAAATATTTTCACGGACGAGTACCATCCATCCGGGTATTTTCCATGGACGGGCACTATGGGCTGATAGTGTCTCTCCGCCGATAATTACTATCGCGTCACGTGGTCAATTTCAGAATCGGAGAAAATCTGATGGTAAACTCTAATCGCTTTAAGTATGAATCTACTAGCGTTTTATCACGAATGGCGTTTTCTGATTGGCTACGCTACTCACTATCTATTCTATTTTAGATAATTTATTCTATTGTAGATAGTGAGTAGCGTAGCAGTGAACGCTTGTTAACAAAGTGGCGGCCGCTTCTTTGCGTTTTCGAAGTGTCTGTGAAGAGGGTTCAGATTACGTTTTGAACGACTAGTAGATTTACACTAAAACAATTAGATTATTCGCTCTCGATTTCTACGCGTGAGGGTCACCACTAAATTTTCTCCGATTCTTATGGGTTTAAATTGATCACGTGACGCGACAGTGTTCATCCGCGGAGAGACATTATGAGTCCATAATGCCTGTCCGAGGAAAATACCCGGATGGATAGTACTCGTCCGTGAAAATATTTCTAGAAACAAGCGAGCTTATAGAAAATAAACAATTGAATTTGTATTAAGAGGTTATTTTCAAATTTTACATTTGGCTTTCCCGGCTTTCATCTAAAAAAGTTGAAAATGATTCAATATGATTTTTGAACTGGCGCACGGAAGAAAATTTAGTGGCAAACCAAAAAGACAATAAGACAAATAATTGTTTTAAGAACATCAAATTTCCGCGGGGCAACTATCAGCCGATAGTTCCTCGACAGAAACACTCTATTGTTTAAATAGAAATCTCAAGCTCATAACCTAATTGTTAAATAGAAACCAAAGATGAGTAGTGGGCGTATTGTTAACTATGAAATTGCAGCTAATAAAACAAGAGGCAGGTCTTTGCAATGTTAACACACCTTTACTGGTCTTCTTTCGGCAACGTTCATAGATGATTCCCAAAACACAAGCAAGAAGCAACAGGCCAGCGATAATTATGACTGCGGTGATGAACTGCGGTGAGCTTACGGCAAAAAGACTTGTGGACTGCTGTTCAGCTGGGCTATCGTCTGGTTCCTAAGAAGATCAAAACAATAGAGTGTTTTCACATGACGTCAAGATAGTAATGTCCCAAAACATGAAACGACGTCCTTGCTGGGTGATGTAGCGGCTCTCGTAAGGTCTCACATGAATGGCTTGCTACCCTTTGAGAGAACAATAGAACACACAACAGAAACAATGCTCCTAGCCCTAAAACAATAGCAGCTGCTAACAATGAAGAGAATTACAAGCTTACGAGAGCTGCTGCACCTCTGTCCTTGCTGGTGTACCAAACCAATCCTGTGGGAGTTGCACTCTTTTCTTATGTAAACAAGTTTTTCTGTTCCAATAATTTTGCAAGGCTTCTGGCTACGTGAATGAAACGCTCTATTATAAAATTTGCTTATGTTGCACTGCGCACCGACTGGGACCTACTGTGATTGGCCCGCCACTGGGGACCTAGTCCCGCCTTCAATAAGGTATTGGCACTTCAACCTTGTGGGACGTGTAGGAACCGTGCTACAGACTGTCAGGTATTCTAAGAAGTAATTCTAAGGTCAGGAGCAGCCAGCGAGCAGATTTGCAAGATTTAACCGGGAGCCACAAAATCCATTTCGATAAAAAAAGAATAAATAGATGAATAAAGAAGTTTTCCAGTTGTTAGGAAAATTTGTATCTGTTCCGCATTCCGAGGAGGAACATGTCTGACATGTTCATTTCCCACGAAGGTCTCTGCTAACATTTCCCTGCTAGCAAGCATACAGCCAAAACAAGATTGCACGACGAGCCGAAAGATAGTGTGTATGGAAGGCTAGCAGTGACAGACTCCTTCGTTTGTCTTGTAGACCCAGTCTCACCTTAAGAATCTTGACATTTTCCTCGATCTTCTGGAACACGCTCGCTGTGTGCGCCTTAATGTGCTCTGTAAAGCAATCCTCCAGCTTCATAGAGTGACCTGCTAGGACCACACCGTAACTAGCCTTGTAATCGTAGACGCGGACGATCCTGAAGCGAGGGTCATCAAA